TAAATTTTCATATTAGCTTAAAAATGGAAATTTCTATTTTGTTATTTTTCTTACTCATTTTATGAATCAGTACGCTCTAATGTGATTCACAGTTGCAACACACCAATATGTAGATTTGAGTTTTTTGTAATCCGTCATTATAATTAAAGTTATTAAACCATTTTTTTCTTTTAGATTTTAATATGTTTAATTTCTTATTAAAAACTTGTTTTTGCTGGCTTGATTATATATACAAAGCTCAATGAAACAATTAAAAAGTTTTCCCCCCAGCTGTTATGTGCCATTTAATGTTTAGAACTGAAAGTTACTTTGTCTTATAAAGGAGGCTAGCAGTGCCCCCTCCCCTAAGATTCAGGCAGGTACTATAGGTATACCACTGGGACGATGAAGTGCCCAGGTGTGTCCAGGCTGGAGTAAGAGATGTAAGAGGTGACAATGGGCATAGACATAAGAGGTGACACAATGCTATAGGCAGGGACCTCTTGGGAGGGGCCTGAGGACCGTGAAAAGGAGTTTGGATTCTCTGCAAAGGCATCTGGAAGCCTCTGGAGGATTGTCCTGTGATCTGTGTCCACCACTCTGGCACCAGTGCAGAGTGGTCTGGCTGGCCGGGACAATTCCGGAAGCCCAGGAGCAGGGCCACCCTCCTCCAATCTGGCAGCCTGGTGATGTGCTGACTCTCTTGTGGATCCAGCCAGGGCTACCGATGCCAGGCTTAGCCCACTGGGTAGCACACATGTGCCCAAATTTCTGGGTGGGGGGACCTATGGTGTGAAGCTACCTATCTTGCAGCCCTTTCGATGCCTTGGGGATGAAGGGAGTGGCTGGCTGGTGAGGATGGAGGGGCTCAGCACCTACTGAAAGTTAATTGGCTGAAGTACAAACTCTCTGATCCTAGCACAGGATGAACATGCAGTTGTGAGGAGAACACCTCAGTGGGAGTAAACAAACGGACAAAAATTGACTCCTCGAGCAGGCAACATGTCTGGGCATTGATAAAAGGCAGTAATTTCTGTAATTAAATGGCGCCATTATTTTACCCATGATGAAGTTTTAGAAAGCATTTTGCAAAAACGGAGGCCATTCCAACACATTCAGTCTGTTTCTTCTCTTTCATTTTCCCAAATGCTGAGGTTTCCTGCACCGTGATGGTGCTGAGGGTCCCAGTGGGTGACCCTTTCTTCAGTTTCCAGGAAACAAAACTTCGTTGCAGACTCGTGACAGGGAACCATTGCTGTGGCGGCGGTCCCAGATGTGTAAACCCAGGGCAGGGGCGGGAGTGGTTGGGGTGGGGGTGCAGAATCCAGCATTGGATGCTCCTAAAATACAGACTTCTCCAGAAAGAGGCAACACAGAAACAGCATGGGGAGGGAGAGAGATGGCGGGGAACCTATAATTTAAAAAAGACTTAAAAGACATTTCAACCGATTACACTGTGTAACCTTTTTATACAAGCTGAAAAAAAATGACGAGAGAAATTTGAACTCTGAATAGCTACTTTATGATTAATTACTGTTTTTTTTAGGTCTGATGATATCGTGGTCATAGTATCCATATGTGAGGGCCTTTATCTTTTAGAGATATTCACAAGGAGATGAGCTGATAGGATGTCTTGCATTTGATTCAAAATGATATGGGGCAGGGGCTGGGGTGCTGCTCTATGCCCTTCCCTGTATCTTGGAGAGTCTCCATTGAAAATGTTTTTATAATAGCTTCTGCACAAAGGTGGGGGATAGGCACTATGTGACATCCCACTACGGAAATGATAATTGCCTTTTATATTCTCGCTCAGTCCCTGTAAGCTCAAGGAGACAGGCCCAGATTGGGGTGATCGTATCTCTGATACCTCCTGGCAAGCAGTGAGGACAGTGGGGCCGCTCCCAGTCTTTGACAGAGAACTGTCTGCTTGTAACCCTATGGCCTCCCTTGTTGCATTGTATGTGTTTCATGCTACTTCTATTTTGGCAGCTGATACTGGTCTCCTACTTACAGAAGTGGCAAAATTTTCTTCCTAAATGTATGTAAACACTTTGATTTAAAGACAAGTAGGACATTTAAAGACAATACATGAGGTACTCAGACATTGTAAGACTCTTTTAGGGTGTTAGGAAATGACAAGTTTGGCAGGCACCGGAAGAAGTCATAGGAGACATTTTCCTATGGCATTTTGTAGGGTAGGATGGTCTCACACCAATCTGGGGGCCTTCCAAAAGATCCCTATGCCTGAGGGATCTCTTCCAAAGGATCCCTATTCACTGTCTCCTAGAATAAAGCTCTTGACACACAGAGAAGGGGATTCAATGGCAGGGAGTGGAAACAGGCCACACAGAGGTGGGGAGACCACATGGATCACAGACAGCACCCCTTGCCAGCTCCACAGACAACCAAGGGGGAGGTGGGGGAACAAGTTTGAGGACGTTGTAAAGGGGAAAGTCTCCGACAGGAAGATGCTGCATTTATCCTTTTGCTTCCCATTGGTGGTTCTCTGCTGGGGGAGTTTCTCGGCTACCCAAATTAAATATAGAGCTGTGCCTGCTCAGGTGTGTTTTGTCAGGTATGTTTGTAAGTTTGCTTTTTTGTTTGTATAGTTAAACCTTCTATTGGAGATAATTGTAATTCACACATGTACTTGTAAGAGGGAAACCAGAATCCCATGTGCCCTCTGCCTCCAATGAATGGTCATATCTTGAAAAGTGTAGGACAGTATCGCAACCTGGAGATGTATGTGATGCACTGAAGTCCCAGGACATTTGCACCACCACAAGGATTCCTCACAGAGGAATCCATACACTCCCTACTGGCCAGCCCTCACCCCTGGCGTTAGCTTGCCTGCTCTCCATTCCTGTAACTGTTTTTCAAGAATGTCATAGGAATTGAATTATACCGTGTGTTTTAAATTATCATTTACAAGATGTTTCACCTAAAAAAATGAGGTTACTGATTTTTTTCCTCAGTAATCAGAAAAGCTGGAAAGATTGGGCCCATTACTGTAGCGGCAGGCCCCGGCTCCTTAATACCCACCTCATCCCTTTTATTATTTACTTGCCTGGTAAGGCTTTCAATTTTTTTTTTTTTAAGATTTATTTTTATACAAGAACCAAGGTACAGACCAAATGCGCGGGAGGGTGAGAGGATTCACCGGAGACAGAGCAAGGAACAGAACAGGCAGACTGATGTAATACACTGCTGAGGGGAGCAGCGGGAGCAACAGGAGAGGCCTGCTGCGCCATGTGGGAACCTCGCTGGCTGGCTGGGGTCGAACCAGCGCTGCGGAGGCTGTGGACAGCTTCACAGCGCAGCGCTCAACCGCCTGAGCCACCAGGGAGGCCCGGTAAGACTTTCAATTTAAGTGGGTGAACTGGAACATGAAGTAGTGTATCTTGATTAAATGTATATAAAATATCTGCACTATATATGTAAAATAGAAAAAATATAAATGTCTATTTACAAATATAGTGACTATATAAAAATATTTTTTTCTGGACGTATACTCCAGAAAACAGTGGCGAAGGGTATTGGATGATGGGGCAGTAAGGGGGAATCACTTAAGTCCTTTTAAGTCTTTTAAATTTATGCCATGATCGTATTAATATTAAAAAGTGAATCAATAAGATGTGCAAACAAGAACACTGAGATTTCCTCAGGGATACCCCTTCTGGGCTGCTTTTTCTATACTACGTGTTCCTTCAGAGAAAAAGTGTCCCCTCCCCTGAGCACTTGGCTCCACACCGTGAAGACACTCCCATCTTACCCCAGCTCTGGGGTCTCTAGAGGTTTCTCCTAATACATGTTCTCTGGTCTGGGCCTTCCAGTTTTGAAGGTGACCCCAAAACACCCCTCATCACCATCCAAAAGTCCCATAACCCCGGAGGGTGAGGCCCAGACCCCAACACTGCCTTTCTGATGAGAGAGGTGTCTGTTCCCAGTCCAGGGCCGCCTTTCCCGAGAAGCCTTCCGCAGCTGAGGGAAAATCCAGTCTCCTCTTCACCAGCCGCTGGCCGCGATGTGCCTTCCTGGTTCCAGGTCAGCGAACACTCCCTGGGCCCCTTATGCCAGCCGCCCTGCAAGCTTGCAGCCCCTTGAGACCTCTCACTAGGTTGTAGAGGCACATGGTGCCCGCGGAGGAACCCACCCCCTCAACCAATTCTTGACAAAGTCCCCTACTGTTCCAACCAGAGCTGGAAATACATGTCGACTGAATTTAGGATCTGAGAGTTGTGTGAGATGAATTCAGTCACGCTGAACATGGTATCTCTCTGGGCAGCTGGAGCGTGCAGTGTGCTCTGGCCTGTTGGCCCTAAACCTGCCCTTTGGGTAACCCCCTTCTCTCTGAATGCTGCCCACCTTGCTGGGTGATCCTTCGGCCATTCGGGACGAAGAGGGGGAAGCAGCAGGTCGTTTCGTTTTGGGAAGCCCCGAGTCCCTCTTCCAGGAAGCAGAGGGACGGAGCTGGGGGGCCAATCGCCACTCCGCACCCCAGATTTCCTGGTGCCTGTGCCTCCGGTGTGGATGGTCGGTTTCTCCGACGAGGCTACAGGTCGCCGGTGTCCTAGGGCTTAGTGTGCGCTGCGGTCAAAGCCGGAGGCGGGAAGACTGCGGGCCTGGCGGGAAGGCCCCGCCCGGGCGTGTGCGCAGCTCGGAACCGCGGGGTTCGAGCGGGAAGGCCAGAGAAGCGCGCAGGTTTCCCGCGAGGCCGAGGGGGCCCCGCCGTGGCGCGCGCTCCCCTCTGGCCCCCACCCCGAGGGGACCTCGGCCCGCGCCCCAGGCCCCCGCGGCTCGCCCCGTCCCGGGCACGCGTCTGCTGGAGTCCCGCCCCCGCCGCGCGTCCCGGGCCCCGCGCTGCATTTCCGCCCGCGAGGGCGGCGGCCCGAGGCGGCCGGGGGTGGGGTCGCCGCGAGCTCGGCCCCTCGCTTCCCGCGCGCGGCCCGGCGGGCCCAGGAAGTGCGGCCGCGGCCCTCGCCCCGCCCCGCGCTCCCGCGCTCCCCACCTGCTGGCCCGGCGCGCGGCGGGCACCAGGGCGCGAGGGGGAGCGCGCGGGCGGCCGGCGCCGGGTCGCGGGAGGTGAAGCGCGGCGAGGATGGCGGCGCCGGGCGGGCGGCTGCCGCCGCTGCTGCTCGCGCTCTCGGCGCTGCTGGCGCTGGGCCCCGCCGCCGCGGCGGCCAAGCTCAACATCCCCAAGGTGCTGCTGCCCTTCACGCGCGCCACGCGCGTCAACTTCACGCTGGAGGCCTCGGAGGGCTGCTACCGCTGGTGAGGCGCGCGGCGGGGCGGGCCTGCGGGCGCGGGGGCCGGGCGGCTGCGCGCGGCAGGTGCGCCGCGCCGGCGGGGCTGGGAGGCCGCCGGGGCCGCGGCGGGGCGGGCGAGGCCGGCGGGCGGGGCGGCCCGGCCCGGGGAGGGCGGCAGGTGCGCCCCCGCGCTCGCCCGGCCCCACGGCCCCGGCGCGCTGACCCGCGGCGCGAGCGCGGCCGCCTCCCGCCCCCGCCGCGCCGGCGCCTCCCGGCCTGTGCGCCGCGGCTGCGCGAGCCGCCCGGCGGGGCCTGGCGGGCCCTGGCCCGCGTGCTGCGGGCGGCGCTGGCGCGGGGGGCGCCGTGGCCGGCCGGGCCGGGCCGGGGGTCTTCAGAACCTCGCGGGCGGGGAGAGGAACGCGCCGGCGCCGCCGAGCCCGGGAGGGGCGTCCACGTGGTCCCACTTCCCCCCTTGGACTGCGAGGGGCAGGTGGCGGGCAGAGCCCCAGGGTTCTCGAGTTCGTGGCGGGACTCCGCCGCCGCGCCGGGCAGGCGTGGGCCTGGCCTAGGGGAGAAGTGTGGGAGCGCGTGTGGGAGCCGCTCCCAGCTGTCCAGCGTCCAGGGGGCACCTGAGGCTTGGCTCAACGGGCTTTCGGAGGGAACCCTGAGATCCATTTTACAAATGAGACGTGAAGACGCGAGGAAGTGTGGTTGGTGACTCACCTCCGGGTTGCCCACCCAGTGGAGTTGGCCTTGATGCTCAAAACTCACTTCTTCAGACACCTCCCCTCCTGCCTCCTTGCAAGAACTCAGAAACTCTAGCCCCTTTGTGGGAGATGTGAGCGGGGAATCCCCAGCCACTAAGGCAACTGGAGGCCTGTGCCCTCCTCCCCCCTGTAGCCTCCAGGGAGACATGGGGTGCAACTGTCCAACTCTCCCACTCTGCACTAGAATGCAAGGGATTTCACCTCTCAGCTGGGTGGAGGCAGCCTAGGGTGTGACCCGGCCCCACCCACACCTGGCCCCACCCACTCCTGGCGGCTCCTACCTAGCTACAGATGAAAGGTGCTGTGAGCCCCAAGGATACACCTTTGCTTTCTTTGCTCTGCTACAAGGCTGTGTCGGCGCTGAGACTTAACAAGGTGTGATCACAGTACAAAGAACTCGTGTGTGTGTGGTTCTGTGCATACATGCAGGTAATGGGCCCAGCGCTCAGACCAACGTTCTTCCTTGTGTTTCTGGTCCCCACTGATTTCCCGAGTCTGCCTCCTGAAATAAGGACATGTGGCCTAACCAGTAACAGTTTAGGGCCTATCTTCTGTAAGTTTCCCATGGCCCTGTCTAGGACATGTCTTGTGTGGGAAGACCAGCTGTTAGCCCTTGACTTGCAAGGAGATGCCTGCTCATACTCGATGAAGTTGCTCTCTTGATTTATTGGCTGGAGAGAGGAAGCTCGCTAGTAAAAACAGCTGGCTTCCAATGAATCCCTCTGGATGTATTTGTATGCTACTTCCTCTAAGATTTTAGAGCCATGCTTTTTTTGTTTTCTCTAAAGTAACAACTTTGTTGTTTTTTTCTTCTTTTTCTAATTGCATTTTCTTTTCTGAGAGGAGCTGATAGACTCCAGGGGATTTGAATTTATTTGTGCAGCTTCTTAGGAGGAAGGGGGAAAAACATTTCTCATCTCTGATGCATCAGAGAAGTGCTAAGTACCTTAAAACTTGTTTTGCATCTGATCCATAGTTTTTATTGCAAATGTGTGAGGGCATAAGTGTCTTCTCAGAGGTGTTTGGCAGTTGTGATAGACCCCTTAACTTCACAGGAAAGTCTTCCATCAATCAAGCACTGAAAATGTTTTCTTTATTTTTAGTAATGCTGTTTCTGGTTTAGTCATCTACAGTTTTTTTTTTGTTTGTTTGTTTTGTTTTGTTTTTTTTGAAGATTCTCCTCTGGAGATTTTCAGAGTTGGCGTGCAGACAAGTCATCTAAACCTGAGAGGAAAATATCCTCGCCCGAAGAGTTTCTTGTTAATTTTCTGATATGAAAAACAAAGCAAAATCAAAAACCTCTTGAACCTTAGGAGATTTTTTTTGCTCTTTCTTTGAATTTGTGGCTAGCCTCCAAGTTTACTGAAATCTCCTTCATGCCCGAGCCGATGACTTTAAAGGTACTTTTCCTGTTTCTTGATTTTATAGCATCAAATCTTTGCACAATTTTAGGGCCAGAGGAATTATAGAGTCACATCCTTTAAGGGGCCCGAGTGTCAGTCTGGGCCTCAGGCAAGTGCTGCCTGTGGTGGTTGTGTGCTGGGATAGGCTATTGATAGGGGCCTTCCTGCCCCTCCCCACTCAGGGACCTGAGCCTCTGGCTGAGTAGCCAGACTAATTGAATCCTGCTACTTACACCAGCATTGCTGGTTATGTGACAAGTTCGGACTCTTTTTTGATATTTGGTGTTCTTGAAAATGCTCCCTAAAGCATGCATTAGATTCTTTTTAAGTTATCCTTTATATACAAAATGGCTGTATATAGAAAATTGGGGAAAATGAAGAAGCCGGACCTTACCCTTCAACTGCAACACCATCAGCGTGTGGTTTCCTCTTCATCACTATTCCCCTCCCCCCTCCCCAAGCTGGCTTTCTACCCTGTTCGTACTTGGCGGTTGGGTCACTTGGTTATGAGCTTCTCTTTAAAGCCACAAGTATTTTTCTACATTGTTTCATAATCCGGGTGTCTGAGCACCCTTCTGTGGGTCATGTTGCATCATTTCCTCCTTTTCCTTGGGGCTGAAGTCCCTGGTGTTCTGAGCTGCTTTATCTTGGAGAAAGCACCTTGGATTGGTTTCCCAGAAGTAGAGCCTGAGATGAGACTTAGTCGCACATGGTTTCGAAGCTGGCTAGGGAAGGGAATGAGCAGGGACGGAGGCCGGGAGACGCCGGACTCCTGAGGACCTCTGCAGCTGAGCTCCACTTCAAGTTGTCCTGGACACAAGGGGGAGGAGGGCACTTTTTTCTGTTTTTTGACCCACTGTCAGTCAGCTATTGGCTACTCCTGGCGGCAGGGGTGTTGTACAAACTGCAGGTCTCTGGGTAGAGCGCCCCTGCTGGCCACACATGTTTGAGAGGAGGAGGTGACAGGTGTGTGTGATGAGGCACTGCCCCCAGCTGCGTAGGGGTGTGGGTGGGGAGTGTCTGGTGGGGGCTCGGGGTGGGGAAACCACTACACCCTCTGTGCTGTGCTGTGTCCAGACGGCTCCTCCTCCCCATCCCTGAATGACTTGCCCGGGCACGCTCGCGCTGTCCTGGTCTGGCTATCGGGGCACCTTCTCCCCATGACCCAGGTGAAGAGTCTCTGCCAGATCCCCTGCTCTGGTCGAGGACGACTCGACCACAGCCTGTTTCACCGCGAGGCTGAGGATTCCCTTACCAGAAGCTGAGCCTTGCTATGATGTGGGCCTCATTCCAGGTGCTGGGGACCTGTGATAGAGAGCAAGCCAAGGAGGCCCTACTTTTGTGGCATTTATAGTTGATCACAGGAGTTAAATAATACATTAAGATGGAGAAATTGTTTCATGGGGTAAGAAATCTGAGAAGGCAAGGGACTGTGGAGCTGCCGCTAGCTGGTGGAGTGGCAAGTGCAAAGGCCCTAAGGAGGGACTGAGCTTGCAGGAAGGACACAGATAAGGCATGTTGCTGAGGGGAGAGCTGAGGTCAGAGAGGTTGGCAGGGACTGGGCCATGTGGAACTTGTGGGCTGTGGTGAGCAGACAGGAAGAGGGCTCGCCAGGGTCAGAGTTGGGTGGGGTTTGCTGGGATGGGTTCTCTGGGCCGTGCTTTCCCCCCTGCACCCCGGGGCTGCTGCAGCTGTGGTCCCTGCAGGATTGGTCTGGGCTTTGCGCCACCCGTTCAGCAAGCCCTCGGGAGGTGGCCATGAAGTGACTGCTCCCTGCATTGATCTGGTGCCTGGTTGTTTTCTTCCTGCTTCTCGTGTGTGTCCCTCACTCCACCTGGGCCCAGGCAGCCCCTGGAGGTGACTTCCGCCCTGCAGGCCCTGCCTTCTTCCCCCGGAGGGGCTGGACCCTTGTTGTGGATGGTGGGTGAGCTGCCTCTGACTCTGCTCGCTCCCACCCCATTCTTTGCACAACTCTCACTTCTCCTGTTTCACTCTTGCTTTCTGGCCTGATCTTCCCACATCCTCTGGTGCGCGGCCCCTGCCCAGCCTCTGCTGCTGTGTCCCGAAGGTTCCTCAGAGGCAGCGCCTCCTGGAGCCCGGACACCTGTGACATTGTGTGTGGGAAAGGTCTACCTTTTCAAATCGTCTTTTAGATTTCCTCAAATTAAAGGTTGCTTTTCTGGTGCCAAGATGTTGTTGACATTTTTTTTTCTTTTAAATTGTGGTAAAGTATGCCCATCAAAATTGAGCGTCTTAACCATTTCTGAGTGTCCAGTTCAGTGATATTAAGACATTCATAGTGTGCATTTGTCACCAGCAACCACCTCCAGAGCTTTTTCATCTTCCAAGCTGACCCTCGCTGCCATTAAACACTCCAGCCCCTGCAGACCCCTCAGGCTTTCCTTAACATCTTTAATGTTGGCCGGTGGGCTCAGAACCTTCGCAGGCAGCAGTGGGGCCCCCTAAGGTGGTGACGTAGAGCTGATGCTTGTTGGTTTCTGTGGTTACCACAGAGTATGGCAGATGAAATGCCTTTCTATACAGCAACGTGGAGTTTCCTTTTAAAGTGCTTTTTCTGTAAAGAAGAATTGTTTTAAAAAATAAATAAGAAATGGATACAGGGGTTACCTCGATGTGGGCTGGCCCCGGAGGGTGGCACACAGAGTACCGGACACTGGGGAAGGGCTGGTGGGGGTGTCCAGGCCATGGGTCCTGCCCCGCCATGGTGGATGGAACCAAAAATAACAGAACAGTTTTCCTGCTAGCTCCTTGTCTGCTACTCCCCACTTAAGCCTAAAAATGGGAAGCCAGAGGCCAGGAGCTACTTCATGGCAAAGCCATGTTTAGAACCAGCC